ACAGCTCACATTTGGGGATTTGCAATGCCGAACAGTTAACTTATGAGCAGTGGAATTGCGAAATAGTCAACCACGCTCCGAAAAGTGACAAACATTTCGGGCTGGATTCGCCGTGGCCGTTGTTCTTCTCTGTTCTCATCACAGATCTACTTCACACAAAATCATAGTTACTGCTTTGTTTATCTACTCTGCTGATCGCGTCAACTCTTGCAGCGTCACCGATGGAGGCCAGCAAGCAGTGTCGCCCTGGCGCCGTCCTCACGAGCTCCGCCCGCCGCCGGAACAGAGGCGAAAACGCTTCTAAGTTTAAAGACAAAACCTCGCCGTGGCTGGATCCTGACGTACAAGCCCTGATGGACGACACAACGGACTCTGAGGACGAATCCAACGTGTTGTCACTACCGAAAAGCGCCCTTCTAGCTGGTCCTCGACCGTGCGTCACCGGTGTGGACCCCGAGAAGGCGCGGGCCATCCTGGAAATCTATGAAGACAAAAGGAAGCGGCTTACCGCCACAACAAAGAAGGTCGAAGCTACCAAGTCCTCCAAAAGTGGCATATGAGAAGCGTAGCGCTGCTCGTTTATACGAAAACATACGTTTGCTCGACTCCGATGTGGGTCTATTTGAAAAGAATGTGCATCCCAGCCGCGATGAATTCGATGGCCTGCATTGCTTGATACGTGGCGAGCTACAAAACGCGATGGATGTGCGACGAGAGCATGCTGGAGAGTTTCGTGCATCGCGTCGGCGTCGTTTGAACACAGAAGAGATGCTTTTCATGTTCTTGGACATACTAGGTGGGTCTAACGAAGGGGGAATTGGTATAGAGAGGGTCGGACATAGGTATGGTGTATCGATAAGAACTGTATCAAACTACTTCCGTCATGTCTTGTTTGCCGTGTTTAAATATCGAAATACGATAGAGCCGCCATTGATCAGATGGCCGGAGGCAGTGGAGCACGGTTCCATGGAAGGTTTGCTTCTCGGGATTCTGCGTTTTGTTTTTTCGTTGATGGGAACAAGAAAAAGCGCTGGAGGCCTGGAGAGATTCACGAACAGGAGAGAGCATATGACGGGTACAAAAAGGCTCACGTGTGGTCTGTGCTTGTGTTCTGTGACTTCTACGGTCGGTTCATACGTTTAGAGATATCCGACAAGGGCGCTGAAAGCGACCGAAATCTGTACACAAGCTCAGAGGTGCATCAGAATCCGGGTGACTTCCTTGCGACGCGACAGAATAGAATGGCAGATATGGGCTTTGGTGGTAGTGGTGCGCTGGTAGTTCCTTACAAGAGGAACGAAAGCACTGAGTAGATTCACAGGTCGAGCTACAACAGGTATATTCATCCGCAGCGTATGGTGAACGAGTGGGGAATCGGGTACATTAACAACGGGTTCCGCATATTCCTGGGCCGCTGGCCTTTTGAGAAGGAACTGTTCCCAATAGCTTACAACACTGCGGCTATGCTATCTAACTGGGAGTTCGATAGACGGGGATTCGCTTTACAACCTAGGTAGCAGTACGAAGAGAAACTAGCAGCTCATGGACGTCTAGAAAATTCCGAATGAATAAACCTTCCTGGATTGCCTTTTTCTCTTAGTGTTTGAGCGGCGCGCGGGGCGGCGAGCGCAAAGTCGGCAGCGACGGCGAGGGAGCCGTAGGCGACCTAGCGGAGGACTCAGCCAAGACGAAAGCGGTGGTGGGTGCCAAATCAGTGACATGATTAGTAAGGAGATCGGGTTCCATGACCAAAGGGTCAGTTGGGAGGGGCGGGGGAAGCGGTGTTAGCGGTTGCTGTGTTGGGAAATTATGGCTTTGCGCGAAAAGGTTGACCAGAATGCCGAAATGCTCGCTTTGACGGCGCTACAGGGCAGCACTAGCGGTCGCCGCATTGGCAAAGCGCGTTTACGCGCGAAGATTCTGTAAGTCTGCAGCCATACGTCTCCGTTCTCTGGTCTCACGTCGCGCTTGCCTGCGGCGTTTGTTCGCCTCTAAAGTGGCCTTACGCTCGCGGTTAAGTTTATCCTTTTGATCTCTGAATGCTTGGTTTCGATTGAGAGCCTTCTACGCATCGTCGTCAGTCGTAAGGGGGGTTTTTGGATGCCGTGTGCTTGAAATCAAGAACCACTTGATCGAAGACGTGTTGGGCGTCGTCCTCCGAACTGCGGGCAGCTGCCGCAGGGCCGTCACCTTCCACAGAGCCAGACATGGATGTGATGACAACCTTCTTCGTCATTTCCGGGACCGTGTTGGCGACATGTCGCACGTTTTCCCCTGTTATGCGGAGCATATGGGACCTTCGCCAGGACATATCATAGCAGTTCTGCTCGGAGACTATGGCACTGTTGGCGACATGACGTTTTCTTGCGCTATCTGAGATGCAGACATAAGTCGCATCAAAAGTTTTCGACTTTTGCAGCTGCGCGCCAAATGCAAGGAGTTGCATGAACACCTAATCATTTTCTACCTTGTTCATGAAAAACTGCTGCGAGTGGCGGCGGGATCCGGTAGACGCTTTCCATGGAGCGAGGGATGGGGGCGAGCGCGGAGACTGTTCTGGTAACGGTGGTACAGGGTGATCCGGAGAGATAATGGCTGGCGTTTCACCTGTCGGAACTGGAGCGTCCAAATCCAAGATTGAACCCATCTCAGTGGGCCTGCGGGAGCGAGGGAGGAAGGGAGGGAGAGAAGGAGGGAGAGAAAGTAAAGATGTGAAGAAGGGCAGACCGCCCTTAAGGCGAACCTGTGCGCGGATGGTCATTTGAGCAAGCTAAGGTTTTTTTGTGAGACCTGCCCAGCCCGTCCCACTGTTTCCTTGCCTGTTTTCAAATTAGCCAGAAATGTAAGCTTTTTGCTGTGCGAAATTAAAACGCATCCATGACCCAACTTGTGGTATTTCAAAATCAAGCCCAGTTCTCGCTTAATTAAAAAGGGTTAATAGCCTGCTGCTTCGTTTTCACTTTGGTTCCACTAAAAAAGTCACCGAAAAATCGCACCCAGTTTGGAGAAGCCCTAAAAGTTTGGAGAAGCCCTTAGGGCTTCTCCAAACTAGCCCTTTTTAATTAACGAAAAATGATGTTGTTTTTAAGACCCTCAAATTGGACCATTTCTTGCACCAAATTAGTAGTGAAAACAAGCAAGCAGCGTCGTGTAGAGCGTGAAGAGTATTAATTTAGGAGGCCGTGCTTCGGTCTCAGAGGTCATAGTTGTCAACAACTCACATCAATCCGAACATGGGTTCGGAAGAGGATGACCTCTCAACGGCTGTTGCTATGGTCGCGCAGTTTGAGGCACAAGTGCAGCATACCTCCCACCTTGCCGCACAGTTCGCTTCCGGTGCTCGAGATTTTTTGCATCACAGTACCTCCTCAAGTGACGGCGAGCCTGGGCCTGGGCGGGGCCACATCGTTGACCGCACAAAAACGCAATATGTGCGAAGAGATCAGTCGCGTTTGTACAACTTTGTTCGCGAGGAAGACGCCGATTTCTCTCTTTTTACAAAATTGACCCATTTGTCTCGCAAAGAGATTGACAGTTTACACGCCCTTGTTCATGCAGAGTTACAAAAGCCGGTTAACTTTCGTGGACATCATGACCACGGGGTCCGTGCACAGGTCGACCAGGTCCCGGTACGCCGACATGAGCGCCGCCAGATGGCGCGCGGCGTCCAGCAGCAATTTGGAGCTCCACTAACGCGGGCCTCCTTCAGGGGCGCCGTCGCGAGAGCCGCAGCGTCCGACACGGCCGCCCATTCGGGCCGTAGCTACGATGCCTTCTTGATGGCCGCCGGCGAAATGTTGGGAGCCGACGACAGGTGGGCGGAGTAGCGGTGCTTTGACAGGTTCAGTTTGCGCTCGAGAAACTCGGACGTGCGGCGTAGGCGGGCGCTGTGATGTAACAGAGCATGCAAACATAGGGTTTGCGTCAGGTGGGCAGCGTGAGCGAGCGCCTCTTCGCAGCTAGACGGGATCGGGGCTGTTGGGAAGGACAGCGTGGCACCGTTGAGAGGCCGTAATAGGCTGTGAGTTGCGCGTTTGGGGAGTTGCGCGGGATAGCGTCCGTCATGGCGGGGGTATTTTAAGGCGCAGACGGAAGGGGACAAGAGGGAGGAGGGTAGGGAGGAAGCGGAGAGGGAGGTACGGGACGAAGAGGAAGGAGGCGAAGGGGAAGGAGGCGAAGAGGAAGGAGATTAAGAGAAACAGTCTTCAAATTTAGTGGGTGCCTTCCTGCCCTGACTTGCTAAAATAGTCATTTTCCGTACAGTTGGAAAATGGCATACATTTTAGTTGGGACTGGTCTTCCTAATTGAAACAGGATTTCGCGCACTTTCCTAAATATTCGCATATTTAGTTGTGATTTTCGTTAATTAAAAAGGGCTAATGGGAACTGGGTGCGATTAATTACACTACCTTACTCACACCCTCAAATTGCCCTCCGGACCGCCCCGCCCGGTAGGTCTCCCGACAGTGGGCACTAAATCAGATTTTCCAATGAAAAAATGTAACTCTTATGTCTCTTCTATGACATAAACCTGAATCATATTTCAGACTAGAGAAGTATGGGGAACACACGAAGAGTCAATTGGAGGTCATCGCGCCGGGGCAGCCGCGAACGTCGATTCCCTCAAACAACTGAGTCTCAATCATACTTGTGGATACCGACAAATACGTTTGGGCAGCTGTTTCGCGTGTGTCGTATGTGATCCTGCACTCCAACGCGCGCTTATTCCCCGCCCTCCTTTGCGCTCTTGCAGCATATATGATTTCGGTCCACCCCGTACGCTTTGGTAGTTGTTGTGATCAAGACACCATCCATCCTCTCGTGCCTTGGCCTTGAACATGCCGACTGCTTTGCGCGCAGAGTCAGTGGTCGGTGTGTGCGAGGTGATCGATGGTGGGGACCCAATTGATCCGTCCTCTCCGAACATGGCCATGTCTGGCCCAGCTATGTCGGCGCGGGCTGCCGCTTTACCAAGTTTTCATGCGTTCGGGCCTCCAGATATGCTATACGTACGAAAGCGCTACACCCCGGTAGTCGGAGCTTCAAAGATTTATGGCTATTATCACTTTGTCCGCGGGGTCGACACCTCCCACGGCGCGGCAATATCGGCCTACATCGTCGATATAGTCCGAAACAAAGGCCTTGACCCACTGCCCTGGGTAGCTGCAGGGGGATGGGAAGTTGCGTCAGCCACATTCGCGGCCTACAACATTCTTTCCAAAGCCGACGTAACTATTCACGTGGATTTCCCTGGCTCCACCTCGGCCACAGCTGCCGGTGCCGACGGACGCCCGCTCGAGCTTTCCGACCTCTTCTGGTCTGAGGTAGTGGTCAGCTCTGTTTTGCGAGACTTCTCTGGTGCTGGAGAGGCTCCCTTGTACCCTTGTTTGCATGTCATCTCTTCGTCCGGCGCGCTACGAATGGAATCCATTTTCTTCGACGCCGCTACTGATTGTGTCAATCGTTGGCATCTTTCTGGGACGGACTCACTTGCTGGCGTGACCTCTTATGCCTCGCACTCTCGAGTTGCCACTGCAATTCTCAACAACCTCGTTTCCTTCGCTAGATACGACACTGCTGCTGAGTTTTTTCAACGCCAACGCATTTGCAATTCCGACCGTGATTGCGCGGTGCATGCCGCTTCAGCGGCCCGCTTGAAGGGAGATATTGCATTGGCGAACTCGATCGTGGACGAAGTCTTACGTGATGATCCTGACTCTCAGTTAGCGTGGTTGGAACGTGCAAAGATTCACCGATCTTGCGGCGAGCCTGATAAGGCTTTGGAAGCAGCGAAGAAAGCTGCATCTCGCCCTAACCAAACTATTGAGGTTTGGATTGTGCTGGCCGATTTGTACGTGGACCTTAAGGCATATTCCCATGCGCTCGTTGCCTTGAATTCAGCCAACATGCCTCAGCCATCCCTTGATCACTTTTTGAGGGGACTACTACCTAATCGCAAAAATCTCACATCCCCGGTCGCGGGCGCCTCCCAAGGCAATGATGCCGTGCGCATACTTGCGAACCAGCTGCGAGAGGAAAGGAATATGTCCGATCAAAAGACGGAAGATACCCTGGCTGACTTGCCTGGGAAGCTAATGACTGAGGTAGAACGATCGTGCTACGCGGTGTTGGTGAAGATCTTAAATGAATTATCATGGGATGAAATGCTTGCAGTGCGAGGAGAGTGTTTTGTCATGCAGGCGGATGTGGAGAATGGGCAGAGTTCGTTGGATAGAGACGGGGAAGATGACAGCAGTAGTGACCCGAGTGACGTCATTAGCGATGGCGAGAATGGTGGCGCTGCAAGCGAGAACGATCAGGTTGGTCTCAATATGGCAAGAAATTCTGACGGTCATCGCCAAGAAGGGACCAGGAATGGTCTGATGGATGAAGAAGTTCTTGGGGGAAGTCAGGAATTGGCACAAGCTGCCGCGGTCGACATTTCCAGTCTCCCCAATGACGAGACTCTGGAAGGAGCCACCACCATGAATGGCTCTTTATCTAGTGCACGCGAGGATGAGGCTATCCCTGTCGATCGACTTCTGCGAAAGAAGAGGTCTGAGAAATCGGGCAAGCAGGTGTGCAAACCATGGCTAGATTATCTAGTTTTGAACATGTTTAAAGATTTACGAGCAATGGCTAGGTGGAATCATGAGGAACAGCAGCACTCTGCTGCAGCGGCTTTGGCAGCCGGTGCCCAGGTGAAGAGGTCTCAGAAAGCCGCGGGAGATGGCGATTCCGGGTCTTCATCTTCGTTTCGCGAGGATGTAGAGAATCAGGGTTTGTACAATGATTATCGGCGGTCGGCTGATGAGGTTGCGGCCACAACACGGCGACCAGCGGCTGATTGGCTGCGGAGGGGTGAATTAGCGTTGAGGTTGGGAAAAGTTGAAGAAGCAAAAACAGCATATTGGACGTGCATAAAGCTGGCTGCTAAAGAAAAGGTTGTGGCGGTCACCTCTTTGTGCAGAGTAATGGCGCTTGCATCTGATGAAGGAGACACAAGAACAACGCTACGATGCGCAGATGCTATTTGGAACTACTTGGATGCGAATTCGGATCGCAAGCCATCATCCAAAAGAACATCTCCTGTACATGACATTAGTGCATGCGTCTTTCGCATAATCTCAAAGAGCGGTTTGCGCGCAGTGCGCGAAACTGCAACTTCGAATGTCGAAATAGATTTGAAGAGGATGGAGGGATTGCTTCTAGACTCTGTAGCTCTTCAAGTAGACGGCTTCTCCCGCTAACACTAATTTCAGCCTTTAGGGTGGCGTAGTTTTCCGCAATAGTGCTCTTTTTACCGTAACATGTTATATTGCGTTTTGCAATTATATTCTTCGTCTCTTGCTGAGCCTCCAGTCATTTGGATTTTGGGCGTACTTATCGAAGAGCGGTTCTATCTTTTCGCGACGTTTCCTCCGTGAAATTTTGCTCGGATCGCCCCTCCGGAAAAATCTTGGGGCAAGCTCAACGAGCCATTTCGATTCGATAGCCATGACTTCTCTCATGTACTCCTTCGTTGTCAAAACAACTTCATGATATATTACCCATTCTGGTTGGGCATGGAATAGAGACGAGGATGGGTGTATGAAGACCTGCTGCCCATCGACAAGCGTGCGGTAACCTTCTTGCGGGTCTTTCTTAGCTGCATGTGCAAAGAAGCCAGAGACAATGGCCTTTCGTATCTTCACATAGTTTCTTCCTGCACTAACAATATCCAATTTGAATCGGTCCATGATTGTTACCAGCTGCTTTCTTACATCCAGGGCTCTCTTCAAAGACCGAGCTTGAATGAAATTTTCATAGCACCATGGGCTTGAGAACCGGTTGTTTTTCCACTGATTATACACGGTGAGCAACGTAAGATGATCTCCTTCCGGTTGATGGAATTTTGATTTTTTCTGATCTGCGTGACCTTGCTTTTCCTTCGGTCGATAGAATACACTTTGCACGCCAAGCATTGCAACAACTGTGAGGATTTCTTCACTGCAACCCAGATCTACAGATGCCAGTAGCATTTTGCTGAGCATGGGATCCAGCGGAAACTGTGACATTGTCCTACCCAGCCTGGTCAGTAGGCCCTCTTCGTCGAGGGCCCCCAAGGAATAAAGTCGTTCCATCGCCGAGATGAGATAGGGCGCCGGAGGAGGGTCCATGAAATCAAAGCCCAACAAATCGTTGATCCCCATTGCTTTGAGGGTGAGTACAGTGTGAGCAAGGTTGCTTCGTTGCAGCTCTGGAACACTTGTGGGAAGCATTTCGTTCATGTAAGCGCTTTCAGTATACAAGCATATGCATTTTCCTGGTCCCGTACGACCTGCTCTGCCTTTTCTCTGGCGTGCTGACGCCTGAGAAATGGGTGCGACGACCAAGGAGTCCATCCCCAATTTAGGATTATACACTTTCTGCTTCGCAAAACCGGGGTCCACCACGTAAAGTATACCATCAATGGTTAGACTGGCTTCTGCGATGTTCGTGGCAATCACCACTTTTCGACTACCCGGAGGAGGGGGATCAAAGATGCGTGTCTGCATTTCAGACGGTAACGCGGAGTAAACAGGGAGTATGATCAATTCGGGAACATTCTTTCCTATCTTTTTCATGCGCCCATACAACATCTCGGCAGCGGTATCAATTTCCTCTTGTCCTGTGAGAAACAGCAAGATGTCACCAGCAGGTTCTGTCATATGAATTCTTATCACAGTCATCAGAGCTTCTTCGATATAGTCACTGATCGGTTCCTTCGCAAACAGCACTTCAACGGGAAACAAGCGGCCAGGAATTGTGAAAATCGGGCAGTGAAGAAAGTAGGTAGAAAATTTTTCTGCATCGAGAGTGGCCGATGTCACTATTATCTTCAAATCCTTTCGGCCTTTGCTAATACAGTCCTTTAGCAAACCAAAGAGCACATCGGTGGCAATCGTGCGCTCATGCGCTTCATCCAACATTATAACAGAATACTGAGCGAGGTCTGGATCAGTTAAGACTTCTCTCAGTAGCATGCCATCCGTCATGTACTTAATCTCAGTTTCGGCGGACGTCATATCCTCAAAGCGGATAGAGTACCCGACCTCCTCACCCAGACGACATCCTCGTTCCTCTGCTACTCGCTTTGCTACAGACATAGCTGCCACCCTTCGCGGCTGTGTACATGCAATTTTCTTGCCGTTTTTGGTGTAGCCAGCCTCAACCAGATACTGAGTCATTTGTGTAGACTTGCCCGAGCCTGTCTCTCCAACTACAACCAATATTTGGTTGTCTCGGATGGCAAGCAGCAATTGCGTTTTCAATCTGGCTATTGGCAGCGACTCCCTCTGTTCTGCAATTGACTTGTCAATTTGCTTGGCATATCCAAAACTGGGTGCCACTCCCATAGCCTTGCGCTTCCATTCAGGCACTTCGGAGGGGCCTGCAGCACTCCCACGCAGTTCAGCAGCAACGTGTCGCTCTCCTGAAACAGGATCTTGCCACGCGAGGTTGAGATCAGAAGGCATCTCGTTTTCTAGTGCAGCGCGCTTCTGGTCACGCTCCTCTCTTCTGTTCTTTGCCAGGGCAGATTGAGTCATGGCTGCTCTTTGCATGGATCCGTCAGGGTTTTTCACAATGCGTACCGGAGATAATGGTTGGGCACGGGAAACACCATGACCCGCCGCGGAACTTCGAAGGAAAGCGGGTTCATCTTCATTCAGCTCAATCTCCACTTCGTTCTCTTGTTCTTCCTCATCTCCCAACAAGATAGCCATCTCGTTGGTAGGTACTTCCACATTCCCTGGAGATGATGGAAGTCCCCCCATATGCTGTTGGAGTTCTCTTTGTGGTAAAATTTTAGCGAGTTGTGTGAGCTCCCATTGCTCAGTTTCAGGTAAGCGACGCCTCATTCTTCCGCTGTTTTGTCGTAGCTCACCCTGTCTATCTTGCATAAAGGATCTCGGTATTCCACTCACAGATTCTTGTCCTCTATGGGGACCCCTTGCCCTTCCCCTTGCTGTGTTCTGTGTAATTACGTCTGTTCGCAGCGGTGTTCGGTTTGCGGCATTAGTCTGCCTGGGTTCCAAGGGGTCTCCAGTCATTTGATCGATGCCTTCCATAGACAGCGATACTCGTTGCTCTTCCACTAGAATGACTTTCACCCATACAGACTGTCCCCTGGATAAGAGCTCCGAAGGATGGCGTATTCGATGGCCATGTGGGTGAATATCTGCAATGTGGGCAAGGCCTTCTCCAGCGCTACCGTTCCTACCTAGGCTAATGAATGCTCCATACTCGCGCAGATTCACGACTTTACCACGCAACAGTAAACCGGCAGTGATTTCTTCCCGCTTTATGTCAACCATTTTTGTCCATCCTGTGGTAGTTAAGTTCGAAGGCGGAAACAATACGGATTCTCGGGAACTCGCCCCAGTTGGGTTGGAAGGATGAGTCCTAGAACTTATCGTATCGTTCTCGTTCTCTGATGCTTTGAGTACCCGCTCTCTGTCAATTCCAGATCCGAGAAAACCTCTTGAATCAGTCGCCTGTGTAGTGAAACCCTGCGTGTTGCCCGTTTCTTTGTATTCCACAGTGCGTACAGGGCGACCAAGATACACCGATGGACCAGCCGTAGATCTCACTGTCTGCTTCGCTGCGAGATTGTGTGCTGCCGCGTCCTCTGGAAGCCGTGTAAATGTCCGCGGCACTGAGCGGTAAATGGAAGCAGTAAGGGCGTCGGGAAGTGGCTTTCCACAAGCAGACGCTACCAATGTACGGAACGACATCAAGTCATGGCTCTCGTGAACTAGAGAGATTAGAAACTCTGCCGAACCTCTGTCCTCGGTGCCCAGATGATTCTGCATTTCAACACAGACCTTAGATACGAGTGATAAATGGCGCAGTTTCTCAAGTTCATCCATGTTTGAAATTCCAGCCTCGGATCGTGGTGAAGTAAAATTGCTAAGGCTCCCAAAAGAGTCAAGTCTGATGAGAGGTTCAGTCGCTTCTGGGAAGAGCAACTGCGGTGAGAGCAACTTAATCAAATAGCGTATACCGTTTGAAGGATAGCCAAAGAGCGACTGCGAGTTCTTTCTGAAAAAACACAAAAAATGGAAAGGCATGAAAACCCCAAGCGCCTTACATTCCGCCAAAACAGATGCCAGTGGGGAGTGTCCGTATGGGGAAAGCTAAGCTATCCATTCGTACGGATACCTGTCGTCGCCCAGACAAAAATATCCAATGGCTTCTTCCGTGGAGAGCGATAACTGAACCCCACCAGGAAATGGCGCCGGTGGACACTTGGTTGAAACCCCGAGCCTTCTGCGGAATCAGGGAGAAAAGGGCTGCGCGCGGCGACCACTGTGCTAAGCTTTTATATGATTGTGGCACGCGTTCGTCGCAATAATAGAGGTATTCGTGTTGTGCGTGCCCAGATCCAGCATTGTGAGAAGGTCACGTTGTCCGTAGTGCATAGCAAGTTGTGCTTTGATTAGAAACGGTTTGCTCTGTACAGGGCGCGCGATTTCAGAAATCCGGGGACAATCCGTTCACACCAGCTGCTGTTTTTCTGCGATGTAATTCCCATATGAATCGGGCAGGGTTGGTTTCGACAATCATATCGAAAACTCGCACCTGACACTGCACTTATGATGTATCGCATTTTCGAAGCATCAGAATTCGATAAATGAATCCTTGTTCGGGCACAAGCTGCTTCCGAAGTGTATGGCGCTTGTGGATGTCTCATGAATTGCGGGCTTTGTTTGAAACTTTTGCAGCCTACGGCAATTTCAGGACGAACAGAGGTCTCATTCGCTCCAACGTTTGCGACTTACGCGAGTGATACGCGCAAATTAGTTTCTGAGATAATGATCTTATTTGTTTACTCCGATCGGTGCCGCATAATACGACATGGTAACGATGCGAAATATTCGCATAGACAAAAAGTAGTACACACTAGGAGCAGCTTCGAAAAATGCTCTCGCAGTCAGGAATCTAGGCTTCCTGCTTGTACGTGGATTACCGTTCGCGTTGCGATGTGGTGGTCCAATTTCGAACGTGAAAAAGTGGTTTCCTTGGGAGGAAGCGAACAGCAGCTTAAGATGTGAGTTATTGAACCTTTTTGGCTGATTCTTTTGAGCGAGGTTTAGAATAGGTCTGGAAGTAGAAGCGGACGAATAGTAGAAGATAAGAAAACAGAACACCGAGGCCGACCAAGGCTCCAGTTGTGGTACCATAGCAAACAGTATCGTCAAACCCAGCGCGGATGAACGTGAAGTAGGCGTAACCAATGATGGTAACGTCAATGACAAACTGGCAGATCTGGAGAGTGGTGAGATACTTCTTCCACCAGATGCGGATACGCAGAGCGGACATGGCGTAGTAGTAGTACATGAGTACGTGTACCCAAAGGTTAATGACGATGGGAACCCACTGCGGGGAGGAATGCTCCATGAGCTGGTTCCAAGTTAGGATGAGAGTGGCGGCGTGATGATATGCGTGCAAAAAAGCGACTTGTTTTTTCCGGACGACGAGGAGAAAGGTGTCTAGAAATTCCCAAACCTTAAAAAACATGTTGATGTAGTAGATCATGTGCATGTGGCCGTTTTCGTAAATTTGCCTCGAGCAGACTAGTTGATATGCCGTCAAGCCATTGACGAAGGCGTCGGCAAGGGTGTACGTCAACCAAGAGCCGAGAAAGAGGCTTGCAATACATAAGGTGATATTGTGCAGGAAGAGGATGCGGGGAAATTCAAGCGCCTTGCGCGTGGCCATGACATGCCGCAAGGAGAATAGAATTAAGACATACATGACAGAAGCACCGACCGGCCAGGCCCAATAGCTGAATGGGGTGACGTTTGGCTGGAAACGCCAGTCGGAAAGCCATCTTGCAATGCCCTTACCGCCGAAGAGGGCGCTAGAGTCTTCGAAACCGGCGGTGAGAAACTGCATTTTGGGATAAGGTGAATAGGAATAGAAAGTGCCGGGCGGCGTAATTTGGACAAAGGAAACTGGTTGTAGAGGTTGTGATGAAGCGGAGAGTTAGAAAGAGACTAAGGAAGACAGAGAATGGTGAGAAGGGATATGTTGGGGAGTCGGGCCGTCGCAACGAGAAGAAGAGTGGGGGCGGAAGACGAGAGGGAGGAGGGAAGCGATACGACGATTTGGCGCGGTGCGGTCGGTACAGAGTACAGAGGACATGTCGACGCGGGCAAGCGGGAATCGCTTCTGCGATCGTAGGATGCCTCCGCCCAGGAATGTTCATTGCTGTCCGACGCCATCCTTGTGTGTGGATGTCGCCCCAAGATTCACGTGGACACGTGTGAATAAGCGTAACTGTGTTGTGTTGAGTCAACACTGTTGGCACAACAAAACACCGCAGTTGAAAGAATAAAGATTGACATCAATCTTTCAACTGCGGTGTTTCCTTTCTCAGCAAACGAAAAGCAACAGGGATTAAGTGCTCCGCTGGGACTGCGAGCATTTGTGGCCCGATTCGTACCACTGTGGGAGAAATTCCCCGTACAGCGAGTACTGCGGTGCATTTCTGTACAGCACCCTGTAGTGCAGAGTATCTCGGCAGGAATCTCGCAGGTGCATAACTCAAAACGTTTCCAGTTGTCAGGACAATTCGTACACGTGTGAAGCTCATACAGAGTGGATTTCGTTGGGAGTTTACGTAGTTAGTATTCACAAAAATCACTGATCAGAAGAGCACTAATCGATGCTTGCCTGCTACATACGAGAGACCCGTGAGAAAAAAAAAAAAAAACGCAAGATTGGAGCCTGTTGTGTTTCACGACTTAGCGTGGAGGCTCGCAACCGGAGGAAAGAACATGTGACGCAAAGTGGTGGAACCTTGCCATTCTGCGTTCTGCCAATTCTGGCATGTGGCTCATGGTCGTGTGGAGAACAGTATCCACCTTACCCACCGCGATAGAGGTAAGCGTGATGGGGCGGTCGTATCATCATGATGCGAGCCGAGTCATGCAGTACTGTAATGGACACGGACGCCGTTCATATATACTGTACCAAGGGTACTGCACCATGGGTACAAGTACTTTCGGTGCAAGGGCAGTGCACTCGTGGTCACTTGATCTGGAACGCTTCATTACAGCTGAAATGACACAACCGGATACAACCCCAGTAATGCAGCGTACAAGAGAAGAAAGGCCTTGTGCGCAGCGCTAGAGCACAGTGGTAAAGCTTTACCCTTGGTACTGTACACTGTACAGTACAACTCCTGTACCTAAAAAAAAACGTTTACTTAGAAGGAAGCGCAAATGGATACGGACTACTTCCACCGAGCGTATCCATATCGAGAGGGTTCACTGTACATAACTACAGTGGCATTGCAGTCGCGAGTGGTACGAGAGCGACTGTGCCTTGCTGATTGAGCACGGTCGACTGGCTCCATAAAACTTTATTACCTCTCAGAGGCTCTGAGAGGTAGTAAAGTTTTATCCAGCACCAACCCTGGTACTGTACCTCTGACTCAGAGGCCGGACTCATACGATGGATGGCATGGAAAAGTCTAGAAAAACGAGTGATACTGTCGAGGTGTCAAAAAGTAAAATGAAATCATCTCCCTTGAGCCAATAGGAAATGAGAAGAGGCGGGATGCCCGTGGAAGCACGAAGCAATATCAAACCAACTGGGCATGACAAGTGTTGGCGCGGTCATGGACCGATAGGACCCTCCAATGGCGACATGAGAAAATCCAAAAGAAAAAAGAGACACGTACAGGATCCAAGATGGGAGTCGATGTGCTGTGCAGTGCTTGATTGTACGCTCTACTTGTAGCTGCTAGTATACAGTGTTTAGTTTCTTGGCTGTAAGAGCAGGTACAGTAAGACACGCCACGACGAGACCCAAGACCCACGAGAAAAGGAGCTGATGTCAGCGCAGAGTTGTCAACAACTCTGAGGACGGAAAAAGCGTTGAACACGTACGCATGCTGGGGACTCACAGATGTGGTGTAGATGACCTTTGGAGATGAAACGAGGGTCCGCAGCCCCGTGTTGATATGAGTTGGAACGACAGGAATTTCGAAAAAAAAAAAGGGAGTGGAAGCTAGTCTTGTTCAAACAAACACGCAGAAACTACGGACCGAAGGACTGAAAGTGATGCGCTGGCCAAAGTAATCAAAGGATATATCTTTTTTTTGGCATTGGGCGGACCGATGGAAAGTGAATCAGGATATACGACGTTTTCGGGGCAGTGCCTTGACATTTGGTGCCGGAACACTGCTTTTCTTGAGGGTTGGAGACATCCCCTGAGAAGTTTTCGTCCCATACAGCAACACACAGTACACTCACCAGATACTGTAGAAGAGTTAAAAAACTCAGTTACAGATAAAAATGTTAAAAAATTACAAAGAAACGTGCGTGTTAAGATTGCGGAAGAGGGTTGTGGCCGGTTGGGTGGAGATGAAATCTTTGCTGGAGGCTTGGGATACCGGGCAGATATTTCGTGGTGTTTAGAAAAAAGTAAACGGAAAAGTCGGGCAGGCGCACGCGACCAATGATGGAAATGCAAGTGGGCGGGAGGGGTTTGGGGGTGGCGCGGCTGGAGGGGGCGGGGGAGGGGGCGGGGGAGGGGGCGGGGGAGGGGGGCGGCGATGCGAAGAAAAGCAAGTGTGTAACTACTGTAGTACAATTTCAAGGGGACTGGGGGCGGACGAGTAGATTTCGTGTAATTTTGGAATCGGTCGTCAAGGAGCGCGAGTGAAGGCTTGGGAGGGGAGGGGGGGGTGGGGGGGTGTGTTGCATGCATGCACGCAGTGACCGAAAGGACCAGAGAGTAGGGACCGGGGTTGACGACAAGGCGGGGGAGGGGGGGATGAGGGGCGGGGGTTGGAACGGTAAGATATTTGAAAAAGTAAGGGAAAAACGTGGAATCGAAGGGACGGCGGCGGAGGGGGTGCGAAGGGGCCTGCGAAATTGGGTTGTGGCGCCCACTGACGTGTGTTGACAGAGGGAAAGTGAGAAATTTGAGTGCATTGTGAGAATGGGGCGGGGCGACAGGGCGGGGTGCGAGGGACCGACAGTAGAGGGGGGTAGTTTTTCGCTTTTAAACTCGCACCTCTCGCCGACTGAATTGGTTTGAGAGCAGATAAGCGTCGAGGCACCTTCGACGTTGTTTGTTTCTTCCTTGTTTTCCTTGCACTGCTCGGACTTGCGTTCATTTTTTTCTGTCAAACTGGCTGTTTCTCCCGCGTTGAACTTTTTCACTTTTGAACGCAAATCACTCCTCGTCGCGCGACCAAACACTTGTCTCCTCCCACAACAACAACGCCCTGCGACCGTTTCCGATTTCAACACACATCTTCAAAATTACTTCAATTTCATCCCCGCCGAGAACCCACGACCACCCCCACGACCACCCCTACGACCACCCCTACGACCACCCCCACGACCACCCCTGCCACTACCGCACCTCTGCGCATCAAATCTCAATCCTTGCTCGTCTACCGCCACTGACGCCATCCAACCACATTCTTCTCTTTATTAATCCGCTCATCCCTTCCCCCCACCCATTCTTTTCAATTTCAACTCTTGCTTCACCTCCTCCCCCCTTCGCGTACACCCGCCCCACCCCCTCTCACTCCCATATCTGCCTCTGCTCTCGTCATCGTGTCCCAAACCTTATTTCTGCTTGCTTTACCATCCCCTCCTCTCATCACGCCCCCCCCCCCCGCCCAGGGCGATCGGCTTTTTTTTCCCCAAACATTTTTTCTTCCCCCCCCCCCCCCTCCCCCCTCTCCGCTCCCCTCTTTTCAGGACCCTTGGTTGGTACTGACCGCCAAAGGCGCCATTTCCTCTCACACCTTCGTTTGTATCTACTTTTTCCTTCTTTCTGTCGCATCCATTTGAATTTCTCTTGCTGGGAATGGTCGCAGCGAAAGACCAACCTCAAAGGCTCCAACTATCCGCTCCGGGTCTTCACAACGCCCAGGGCGAACTCCTAACCCATCCCGAGCATACAGTTCCCCCTACCGTGCACAACAAACAACTGTCACAAGAGTCAAACGAAGAACATCGCGTCGAACACTTTTCCCGCTTTGCAAAGCGCAACACCAACTCCAATACTACGGAAAAATCTCCTTCTCAATCGCCTCTCACTTCTCAAGCTCTAGCTTCTAATACCGACACACACTCCAATCTCACAAGACCGGGGAAGCCAACTAACTCCTTCTCGAGGTCCAAGTTCAACGCCGCACGAAACCATCAAAACATGGAGCTTCACGACGCTTCCGGCACTGTTTTGCAGCAATATCCACTCAACTCCGACTCTGATGTTAACAACACGCATCGCCCGTCTCCTGATACAGACTCTGCAAAACACGACCATAACGGTGACCAGCAGTCCGACCAACAACAACCTCCGCCGCCGACCACCTCCATCCCACAGGGAGTCCAAGATCAGGTCGCCACTGCCAACCCCAGCGTCTCCGTTCAAGCCCCCAACGTCAACCTACCCTCCGTCTCCGCTCGATCCGTCCCTCAACCTACTGGTATGGACTCGGCCGCTGCTGTCGTTCCGGCGCCGTCTCCGAAGAAGCCAGCTCGTATGCCGGGTACAAAGCAGTGTCCGACTTGTCACAACACAATCGCTGCGGCTGTCGCAAAGTGTCCCAAGTGCCCGCACGTCTTTCGAGAGAAGAAGGAGAAGGTCAAGCGCTCTGGGAAACGGGGAAAGAAGAATTGTCCGAAATGTCAATATGAAAACCCATCCGCCTGCAGTTCATGTAAGAATTGTAAGCACGTCTTCCGCTTGAAGCTCATGGACAAGTATAAGTCGATGCGCCCTCGTCAGCAAAATGAAAGCGCTGCTGCTGCTGCCGCCGCCGCTGCTCACGCAGCCGCAAATATGCAACATACGGGCCAGGGCGGTGCCGTAACTGCCGTTTCTGCTGTGCCTCTACCTGCCGGAGTGGCAACGTACCCAAATCAAATTGGGCAGCAACTCCATCCCGGACACGGTGCTGTTTCAGTCATGCCCGCGATGCAACAACATCCAATTGCCATGCATCAACATGGCCACAATGTGCATTCATCGGGCGTGCCGATGCATTCACTGCCGCAACATTCGATCCATCCTCATCAACCTCATCCACAGTTGTAAGCCGAAACTGCGGTGTCCATAGAAGGGAGCTGCTTGATATGTCCTATTGACTATAAAGGGAACTGAGTAAATCCACACGCTTTATGATCGCTCGAACCATACGATCAAGGATGCAGGTGAGAGAAGTGACCCGTTGGTATGGGGGCACGTGCGGTTCATGTCAGCCGATGTACGCGTTGGTGTCGTCGAAGGATTACCCATAACTCTTAACATGTACTGCAAATTTTGTGACAGCGAAATGAAACAAATTGCGAGATGGATGCCACAGCGTAATACGGTCACCTTGTGTCTAGAAGAATACAAGAGGACGCATGACGTGGGCAATGACACAAGCCAAGACTGATGACCAGAGTCGCTGTCCTGACAGAGAGCACGAAGAAATGTTCAGCCAGTTCAGGAGTTCATCTGATCTTGGCGTGGGATGGACCATATGATGAGAGCTACGAGAAGAGACAAAAATGGCGCACAGTAGTTGGTTGTCAAACGAGTTTGACAGACTTACACAAGTTGAAGGCGTCGTATACTCTTATACAAAAGGTACTACGCAGACAGTGCTATATATATGTACATGTTCCTGGTCGAGAGAGACGAGTCGTACTGTAGTTTGAATCATGAGGTGCAATAAAATGTGTGTTTTGGAAATACAATATCTTAATCAACACTGCACTGATGTTGCGGCTTTGGCAGAATCTTAGTACAAGAGGGATACGGGGCGGTGCGGATGCAACTCAGTAAGGCCACATGGTCATGGTTGCAATCTCGTTTTTGTCCAGCGACTGCTGCCCTTAAGTTCCTCACTAGGCGTCCAGTCCTCGTTCTCGCCAAGCTCATACACAATCCTGTCATGCAGCCTGGCCTCGCGCCCCTTCCAGAACTCGACGCGGTCCGGGACGAGTCTAAAGCCGCCCCATTGTGGCGGTCTCTCGACCTCCTTCTTCAACCCCCCCTTCTCATCCAAATGGTCATCTACCAAGCCATTCCACCTTTCCTCTACCACATGCCTCTCCCCCACCGGCTTACTCTGATCACTCGCCCAGGCGCCCAGCCTGCTCGCGGGCGGCCTCGACTTAAAGTAAGCATCGCTCTCCTCCGTCGGGACGCGATCCACCTTGCCCTCTATCCGGACCGAGCGCTCCAGCGACGGCCACCAAAACGTGAGTGCCGCGAACGGGTTGTCCGCGAGCTGCGCGGCCTTGCGCGAGCCGTAGTTAGTATACCACACAAAGCCGTTGTCATCAAAGGCCTTGAGCAGGACCATGCGTGCGGAGGGGCGTGCGTCGGGCGAGGCAGTGGCCAGACACATGGCGTTGGGCTCGGGGTCGCCCGACGCCTTCGCTTGCTCGAACCACGCAGCGAACAGGGCGAACGGGGCCGGCGGCAGCATGGCCTCGTCCAGTGCGGGGGCCCGAGAGTAGCTGACGCGCAGGGAGGACACCGAGGCGGGGGTCGGGGCCTTCGGGGTCGGGGCCTTCGGAGCCGACATGGTGAAGCGGCGGGGCGAGAGGTGCGGGCGTCGCGGGGCGCGGGCGAGGGGAAGCTGCGGGACAAAGAGGAGGGAGCGAAGGGTTCGCGACATTGGCAATGGGAGGCAAGGGGGGAGAGGTTGGTGTTGAGGGGGGCTCAAAGGCTCTGCGATGTGTAGATGCGGAGCCGAGGGGTTACATTGAGGAGAAGCTGCGGAATGAGTCAAGCGACTGAAGTCGGGCGGTTGGGACTGTGAGTGGGCTGTGGCGGAGGCGGCGGCGGCGGAGCCGGTGGCGGATGGAGAATGATGTGCGATGGAGGGTGCATGACGCGATAAGGGTCGGGGAAAACAAAGGAAAAATAGAGAAAAACACGGTGTATTGGCCCATGTTTCGAGACAGTGAGACATGTGTGCGTGGTGACTGCGACAGCAAGTAAATTTTAGCACAACTCGTTCTCTCGTCAGGACACGCCCCGGCGCCGTTCCTAACGAAGAGTTCGCCGTGCCAGCACCCGAGCACCCTGAAACTTGGCATGAATGTATTGGTTGAAAAAATTATTGGAAATGCTTTTACTCTCGTTCAACCAATCCATTCATGCCAAATGTCAGGGTGCTTGCGTGCTAGCACACCTAACGAAGAGTTAGGACGCTCCAGACCCCGAGCCTTGCTGGTTTCCAAGGAAATGGGCGCACCGTCCCCGATCTCGTACACTCGTCCTCCCCTCCCTTCCTCATGCGCAGCCAAGAGGGCACCCAGCAGGGAAATCCTGCGAGCATGCTCCTTTTACAAGTTCGCCTTCTCAGCCGTGAGTGCGACCCTCTTCCTAAATCGCTTGTACGCTAACGACGACACCCTTATTGGTTACTATGGACGAGATGACCAAGGCACTCCGCATGCTCAAGGATGCCGGTGCTGCCGCTGGTTTCCATTTCAACACTTCCAAATGCCGCGCGTACGGGCCTTTCACTACGCCCACCACATGCGTAGTCCCTAGTAGGGACGGGCGTCAGCACGGTAGGGACTCCCTATCGTGCTGGCGCTCGCATCACGGCGGCGAGCCGCATCGCAGGGGCCGCTGAAGTCAGCACTTGTCGGCACTTGTCGGCACAGATGCCGACAAGCCGCCCACCCACGCCTGAATTATCCGGGCCGCGCTCCACCTCGGAGCCAATGCTGACCTCCCGCGCCTTGATTGGCATTTTGTTCCTCTCGCGTATGACACTCTTGGCGCGGCCTATGCTCGTACTACCCTCACTTGAAAGTTACCTCATTTGAAAGTTACACAACATGATAAATAAACTAGAAAAGAAATGTCACAAGCGTTTTAGTATTCGTCTGCCACGAGGCCGACGTTTCCACGCCGAACAGCGGGTAAATTTAGAATGCATCGCTTCCTTTGGATGAATAATCCGTCAGTGCCTTCATCACCGTTTCATTGCTGGACCTAGCCTCTTGATCCGCCGACCAAAGACAAGCGATAATATACCGTAAACTTTACACTGCATTCCATGCATAAACCTCCTCGCCAGCCATCCCTTCCTCCCCCGCCCCCGCACTTCACTCCTCAACATGCACGACAAATCCATCTCCACCTCTGAGCGACTGTTCGCCTCCGAATGCGTCTCCGCGGGCCGTCGTCTAGATGGCCGCTCTTTGACTGATCCGCGCCACGTCTCCGTCACGTTGGGCCCGTCCTGGGGCTTTGCGGAAGTCGCCTTCGACAACACGCTCGTCATCGCCTCCACCTCGGTCGACGCCACCGCCCCCTCCTCCGAACGACCCAACGAGGGCGTCCTCACCGTCGTTGCAGACCTGTCCCCGACATCCTCCGAGGCCGCCGCCCGCGAGTCGCTCGCCCGCTCGGGCCACACCCCCGTCGTCACGGAGATCCGTAACTGCATCGACAAGTTTGTCCGCGAGGCGAGGGCCATCGATACCGAGGCCCTTTGCATCCTCGCCGGTGTCAAGGTCTGGGCCGTGCGCGTCGAGGTCGACATCATAAACGACGACGGCAACTGCGTTGACGCCTGCGTCATGGCCGTCATGTCCTCACTCATGCATGCTCGCCGCCCGGATGTCACCGTTACAGGGAAGGAAGTCCGCGTCCATTCCCTGGATGAGCGAGAGCCTGTACCGCTGCCCGTGCACCACGTCCCGCTGTCGGTGTCGTTCGCCCTGTTCGGCGCCGGCAAGCCGTATGAGCCCGACATGGTCGTCATGGACCCTGTGAAGAAGGAGGAGATCGCGTCGGGGGGTTCGCTATCGTTTGCGTTCAATGCGCAGGGAGAAGTATGTGGCGTGTATAAGGCGGGAGGCTTGCCGCTGCAGCCGGAGAGCTTTGTCCAGTGCAGCGAGCTGGGAGAGAAGCGGGCACTCAAGCTCACCGCCATTTTGAACAAGGCGCTGGCCGATTCGTCCGCAAAGCATCCAAGGGCAAGTCTGCGGCCTATGCTCGTTACGCCGGAGCCTGTGGCCCAGGTACGGTCGCGACATACGAGAAAGAAGGACGAGGTCATGAGTGAAGCCGCCCCCCTTTCGATGTGGAATGCGACGCCAATTGAGGACACGTTGCCTCCACCGCCCAGCGCGACGGACCGTGATCCCGTCAAAGTGCACGCGGTGGAGGGCGTGGACAGTGCAATAGCGAGTCTATTGCAGGGGAGGAAGGAGGTGGATGAAATTGTACAAGTGGAAGAACATGTGGAGATGGAGATGGAGCCCGAGCGAGAGGACGGGCCCAAGCCAACTGAGATTATTGAGATTTCGGATAGCTCATCGTCTGATGACGATCTAGAATCGGCGATCATCTCCAAAGGGAAGGGAAGCGGCGGGCGGCGGTAGTAGGTTTGTCAGACCTGTCTATGCGTTGTGGCTGGCAAGCTTTTTTTGGAGCACGGGATGCGCAACTCGGTTGGTGCTGTGCGCACGACTAACATGGTGCACATAGTGCTACTGGACATTTTGCTGTACATCGGATAATTGTGGTGTTGTTGAGTTTAATAGGCGAAGCAGGACACGAGGTGTTTACAGACCGACGAGGTCGAGGTTATTTCTGACGAAAGCGAAATCTTCGGGATTAGTAAGTTCGAGTGGAATGGCGTTATCAACACCGTAAACGAAAGATTTGACACCTTCCTCGGGCAGAAGGTCGTTGAGCATGGTGGAGAGAATGTACTCTGAGGTTTCTTCGGTAGCATTGTCTTCAAGCCACTTATCAAACTTTCGTTGTGCAAAATCCAGGATGGATGGTTGAAAACCAAAAATGTTCATCGACGTGAGCTCGTCGCCAGAATACTTGCCTGCGTTAATGTCATCCATGCAAATGTTATACTGTTCCACAATTTGCGTGAGGGCCGACCCCTCAATTCTAATTACGGCGCGGTTGACCTTGCCCGATCGTGGCAAAACGTCGCGCAAAGGGTATCCAGGCATGCACGGGGTATCTTTGTACTTGATATGTGTGCAGACCTTATCAAGTGCCTTGTCGCCATAAAGCGTATCGCCGTTGAGGACGATGAAAGGGGCGTCGATGTGTGGCTTCGCGGCGAGCAATGCGTGGACAGTCCCCATGGGCTTCTTTCTATACTCTGGTGTTTTTTGGAAGGCGTACTTGACGGGAAGTCCCAAAAAGCTGTCACCGACGACAGAGAAGATGTGGGAGTAGGTAGCGTCGGACACGATGAGAATGATGGCAGTGACACCCTGTTTTTGCAGCTGGCGCACAGATAGCTCGAGCAGGGTCTCGCCGTAGCGACCGACGGGTTGCAGACACTTGATTCGAAAGCCAAAGCGAGAGGATAGGCCGGCCGCTAAATACAAGCCGTAGAACGGCTTAGGGGAAGCGGTGTCGGGCATGGTGGAGATGCGATGTGGTGACGGTAAGGTTTTGGTTCGCGGGTTCGGTACGGAAGGGAGCGAAGGTGGCGGCACGGACGCCGCTTGACTGTAGGTGGGACAAAAATGACGCCGGTGCGGGGTGAACGATGCCTGGCAGGGATTAAGGGTTGGAGTTGCGGGCAGGTGAGAAGCGGGAGGAATTGAGCAGGTGTGGAAAGCTGAAGTGGTTTGCAGGGAATTGAGCGATGATCGAGGCGAAGAAGCGAGGCAAGCCGTGGATGAGGAGGAAGGGAAGAGCACGGGTGCACGGGTGTCACAGAAATATCGTATATCGACGCGACTCTGTGGCAGTGACCCATGTTGGGGGGGGGCGGGACCGGACGGCTGTAGGCGGAGGCGGCGATCCGTGAGATGGATCGAGCTCGGAAAGATGTGACGGAATTTTACAAATATTCAAGGTTGGCCTCTATCTCGGCACGCGAGCCCATATACTGTATCTCTGGCGCATCGCCGGTTCTCGGCGTCGTGAATTGCACCGACTCGTGCTCACGGAGTGGGTCGCCGGTGCTCGTTTTGCAAAGGAGAGCGGATACGATCGCGCTCGGCAACTCGAGCAGAGCTGGAGACCTCCGTGTTGGCACCGTTCGCCTGGAGGCATCGCTCGCTTCGGCCGTGTGCGGCGAGGGGCGCATGGACGCTTGCAGAGTGTGTGAAACTTGATTTTTAGCGGCACGTTGCTCCTAATCCCCCTAAATCCCTTAATCCCCCCCCCCCCCCCCCCTTTGTTATCATGGTGAGCAATGACCATAATTTGGTTGGAGGCATTGGCCAGACATGGGTAGTGTAAGCTTACACTATCCGTTACTGGAAACGTGTCGGAGGCCCTTCTGATTCCGTTGCTGACTTGATTATGCATTCGGAAAGGAGCGCAGCCCCTTTTGTGATTTGTGATTGTGGTGCCCTGGACAGCAGCACCCTTCTAGAACCCCCCGGGAGTGCAGGGCTGCACCTACCGCACGGGCTTACACACCTGCTTCCGGGGCATGATGGAAAAGAATGGCTTCTACTAGAAGCCTCCAGCCCAAATAACCCGCCACCTAGTAGTAGGTGGCGGGTTATTTGGGCTGGAGGGTGGCCCGCAAGTCAACGATTGCCCGCTGTATACCTTCGAAGGTACTCTGGAGCTGAAATGTTCACTCCGCGTGTCGCGAATGTCCCAAAACGCATATACATCCAAACATGGCCATGGACAGTGTCCATGCTGTCTTAAAGGAGACCCTCAGAGGAGGCGTGCATTTCCATGGCCCAAGGCGCCGAACCCCTACCACGTGTACAGGACCGGAAATGAATTTCCACAATGGCGACGCCTTATTGGACCACCACCCATTTGATCTTCGAGCTCCAGGCATGAGCGCCTACCGCTCTGCAAAACCATCTTCTGCGCCTTCCTTGCTGGACAAACGGAAGATCCTTCTAGCCTCTCCGCCTTCCACCCTCGCCCCAACATGGAACGCACCGCTTCTTCTATATAACTCCGCATCCCACCCATCTTCACTTCACCTTTCTCGACCACCCTCAGAACAACTCCATCACAACCACACCACAACCACACCACAACCACACCACACCCACACCACTCTCCCACTGCATCATGGCCCCGCTCTCCGTCAAGGCCTGCTACAAGCACACCAAGCGTCGTTTCTCCCTGGAACCGTCCTCCACCTTTGCCGACTTCCAGGCCAAACTCGCCGCCATCTTCTCCATCCCGGCCCCCCGAACCATCCTCTACAAAGACGATGAAGACGACCTAGTCGCTGTCTCCTCGGACTCGGAGCTCGCCGAGCTCTTCGCCATCGCCACCTCGGCAAGCATCACCCCGCTCCGCGTCTACCTCTACGACACCGCCGAGGACGTGTCCGCCGCCGAGCAGGCTTCACGTCAAGCCCCCAACGCCGAAGTGCCCCGTCCCCCCTCCTCTGCGGAGCCGGACCGCTCGCACGACCCCATGCCGCAGCTGGATTCCGTCTTCTCCGGCGTCTCTCAGATCTTGTCCACCATCTTCAACGACGGCCGCAACCAGCCCTTCCGCTCCTCGCGCCGCTCGCACCCGTGCGGCTGGCGCAGCCGCTCCTCTCGCTCGCGCCGCCCGGACATGCCCACGCCCCCACCGCCCTTCTTCAACATGTACGGCCCCATTGCATCGTTCATCTCCGCCATGGCAAACTCCGGGGGAGGTCCCCCCGACATCATGTCCAATTTGTCACGCGTGTCGCAGGACACCAGGGACGCCTTTGATCAGGCGCGCCAGGCAGTCCTTTCCGCCGAAGACCCTATGCGCATCATTAATGCGGCCAGGGCGGGCGCGCCCGTAGTACGCTCGTGGATGAACGATAATCTGGGCTCGGAGGGACCGGTGCGGGAGGAGTCTGTCCCACCGTTAGTGAGGGACTTAGAAGCTGCGATTGGGGAAGGCTTTGGTAGTGATATCACTGACCGTGCGATGGAGCTAGTGAGGGTCGCTCTACGCGACCAGGTCGTCGTAGATATGCTCAGGATGCTACCAGAGGATTTTTCCTTCTCCTGGGATGCGGAGATGGTGCCCCCGGGGGAGTCTTATCGCACGAGTGGGTTCTCGGTTCATACCGGTGTCGAGTGTGACAACTGCGGGAAACAGCCGGTGCGAGGTAGCAGATTCATGGCGACGAACCGCGAAAATTACGACCTGTGCGACAGTTGTTACAACGATGAGACTGTTGATAAGCAAGGAATCGAGTTCAAAGAATGCAAGTACATCTGGGAGGCGCGCTTGGGGGATGCTGTCGTGCCCTCGGCCCCGCTCTCCATGTGGAACCGCGGGCCGAGCGTGGCTTTTCTGCAGAAGTTGCTCACGGATCTGGGCTTCATGAATGAGAACATGTACCGTCGTGCAGTTGGTATGTATGGACCGAAGACGAAGGCGGCTGTGATGCAGTTCCAACGTGAACATGGATTGAGCGATGTCGTCGAGTCTGGAGTGTACGACGCGACTACGGCCGCGAGCTTGGTTTCTATCATCGAAACGCAGGTGCCCCCCACGGCTGCGACAGGCAGTGATCCTGCCGAGTCGGGGCCTTCTTCTGCTACTACCACTGCACCCGAGTCTTCTCCGGCGCGGGGTTGATTTGATCAGGAATCCTGTGTTGTTCCGTTTTTCATGGTGGTCTCGTGAAAAACAACTCGTATTGTTGATAGTGTAGGTTTCCCTTTCTTGTCTCTGGTGCGGCTGAAATGCAGCCGGAGCGATTCTTTCTGTCACTGTTTCATGGCCTTTTTCATCTAGCGATGTGGCGCTCACTCCGACGACATTGCAGGACTCATGAGTAATGTAGCTGCCTGGTTTGCGTATTAAAATGTTCTTGGAACAACCAAATACTTGTGCGGACATCACAGCCTGCCCTCTGCAGTCCGGATCCTCATTCATTGTCCAGCAAGGTCACCATATGGGAATCACTCCTATTGGCCTAGTGTCATGGTCAGAACGCTTTCCGCCAATCAACAGGCGTCGAAGGTGGCCATTGTATCTCTCGGCAAGCTGTCCTCGTCATTATCCTGTCCCTACGAAGTATTTGCAGCGAAACTGATAATTCCACGTCGTTCGCTGATGCGCCGTGGATATCGCTCATATGGCTCGGCCGTATGACATATATATACGGGTTCTGTGAAGAGACTTAACATTATTGAGGAACTCTTCCTCGCTTGCTTCCGCTCAAACGGTGTCCTCCATCGCTTGGATGCACATGCTTAACAAGACATCGGAGCTGTTAAACTTGCATGGTATCAGACTTGTACAGGCTCCCATTTACACAATCTATGATGAACAATTTGGAAAAGGAAGAAAGTCTATCTGTCCACATATACTTGGGACGGCAATATCTATCTCTTCTCTTCGAGAAAATGATCGCTGCACTATGTTTCAGGGGAGCGAGCCAATGCATTCAAAAAAGAATAGAATTAGTCTTTCCATTTCGAGATGCATGGGCAGAAGCGAAAGCATGCCTCAGCTTTTATTGGGCTTCAAAATCGCCAGTTCTCTCTCAAGAGAGAACAGCTCGTTATTTTCGAAACAAGCTATAAGTATCATGACATTACACAAAAGGTATGCATTAACATCATTCATCTAAGTTGCGTCTACAGGATGATAAATGAGCGGGACTGTGGCGACGGGAATCATACATCCGTCCCAGACGCGCTCCAAGGTCAATCGCCTCATTTGGAGTCCGCCTGCTTCCTTTTCCGACATACTTGCTTATACAAGAATTGCCCCGTGCCTGAAGCGGTGGAGGGGCATTTGCACCCCTTTTCTTCGAGGAAGATTTGCGCTTGCGATTGCGTCGATTATGTTTTAGAGTATTCTGCGGTTCGTTTAAGAATTGGAGTTGCTGTTTTTCCGCCTTTGATTTATAGCCAGGCTTGTATTTATGCCCGAGAGGATTGTAGAAACACTCCTCTGTCTCGTGCCCGATGTGGTCACAAAAGCCACACTCCACGTTCTTGCAACCACGACGTTTTCCCCTGCCAATTGGGGGGTTGAATACGAAGTTGTTGTTATCAGGCCACTCTGTCGCGTAGCTGATATCTTTGCGCAGATGTCCTGAAACAGATACCGATCCACTCATATCATGAGACCGCATTTGGAACTGATGTTTGTGTTTCACACCATTGACTTCCAGCCTTTCCGAGAAATTTCTTCGTACATCGGCGTAGGGATCTGTATATAGTAACCCTTTTCCTACATCTCTGGCTTCGACTGTATGAGTCAGCAGAGGGTAGTAGCTCCGTCTGTCTGGAAGAGCTTCGTGGATGTAGCCACAAGACCTGTCATCTACCTGTTTATTCACAGATGTGGCGAGGTCAGAGGATTTCCACTCGACTTCATAGCGTGCGATGTCTTGCGCTTGTCCAAACTCCATGTTTCGGGCAATGACTGGCCTATTCGGAAGAACCTTGGCGTGTATCGACAATTCGTGTGGTTGTTGTTGTTCTGTTCTTATTGGAAGGAATTAGAGTTGGTTTAAATAAACCGAACACTTCGCACATGCACGTTGCTACTGATATAGAGAACAGGTTGGGGAGAGAGAGAGGGGTGGTGGGGAGGGGGAGGGGCAAAAATAGCATTTGATCGACACTCAGCTGCCACAGCATATCAAGAAATTTCGTTCTAGCATTGTGCTCTGCCTTGAAAATCAGCAACTGACAGTCATTCTCTCCCCTGAATCAGGAATCAAGTGATGAGAGGGAGACATGACACGCTGCTGAAATCTACGGCTTCCAGCAAGATTTGGTACTGACAATTATCTTCAACTTCGACACGCAATGGTTAAAATACATACGATCGAACTTATGAGAAGATGAGAATGTGGTGATTAGGCTGCTTCTTCAACGCTTTGGTGTGTCCACTACCACGCGCACATTCTACTCACTACGAATGAATTACAAAAGGGCATGAAACACGAATAATTCTGGGCATGCGAAACACAGTCTGATTTCGATGCTCAATGTATCTGAGACTTGATGGTGACCTCCTGCGAACCCACTGGCGGACTACGTGCAGTGGTCACTCAGTTAACTCTCGAATGTACGAACAATCGCAGTACAGTGGTGGATGTGGTTTACATGTCGTGAATATCGTATTGGTGATTCCCATGTCTAGATGTTAATCAAACAAGAATTTCGCACGTTACGTTTAAGGCGGAGACGTAATTCTTTCTGTGACAGATACATCAAGAATCACACCTCCTTGCGATCTTAACCACGTTTGTCGGCTTCGTCACAGGTCTGCAAACTCTTCTACCAGAATTCGTTCGGATGGGCGTAGATGCTGGGCTTTTTCTAAGTTCGCATGTCAAGATTTCATCGGAAAAGTAAGAGACTACATTTTTTTTGTGTCATTTGACCCTGACCTACCACGAGGCTTTTGGTTTTGTATACCCGTATGGGCCTTCTTCTTCTCAAGATCGCCCTCACTGATAGTGAGTACCCTAGACCTTAAGCTATATGAGGCGTTGGGAACACATGTGGCACAAATTGTGTGTCCTAGTGTGGACTTTGCTGCTACGTATCGAGATCCGTCGTTCGTGAAGAAACCCACGAAGTTACGGCGAAGAAAATTTCCCGTGCATGCGTTCGGAAGGAGGCGTCAAACAAGAAGCGAAACGTCCCCAGCAGCACGACAAAAAGAAGAGCGTACTTGACGACAACGGAGATGACACGCCTGTTGTATGTTGCAGTTTTTCGAATTTCCGCAAAGATCGTATCGTTGTGTGCGAAAACTTGCTTCTTCATTTCAACAATCCTTTCTTTCTCATCGCGGCTCAGCGCTATCCGGTCCATTGCATCTTTGTATTCTTTCTTAAACTTTGGAATGTCTGGGATAGTATCAGAAAACTCAAAAATCTTTGTACCCTTTCCCGGCGGTAAAGAGAATGCAGAGCGAACCCACCTCTTCACAATGGGGCCACCACCAAACATGCCCAAGTACATAGTGTAGCAATAGGCGATGATACAGACCGGGTCGTTCTCGATAGATTGGACGAAATTTTTGATGTAGTCCGCGGTAGCCTTAGACGGTGGCATGATTCTCTTTTCGAAATCCGAACCGTAATAAAAGCGTAGGTCGTCCTCGAAGGCTCCCGTGCGAAGCAGTTGGGGAAAATAAATTGCGCCCACTTTCGGATAGGTAAGCCTGAAATGTTCCATTTTTGTTTCGACTGTTTTGTAGATCCAGTACCAAGATACGAGGAGCAGCCGGTACACGTCGGGTGACGAGAGAGCCAGTGGCGCTGATAAATTGACGAGGGTGTTGGAGAGGTCATGCTGCCGCCGCGTGCGAGTTTGCAGCTCCTCTGAAAAGCTATCCTCACTCATGACGACAATCTCGGTGGTGCAAATGCTTCCGCGTAGAACGTGAGGTCTGTTTCTCTATGCTCTCACGACTTCGCGTGCAGGATTGATGTAGCTGTGGGGGTTTGCCTGATTTTACTGTTTGCGGGAAAAAACTTGATGAGTCGGATTTTTTTAAAAACGGGGAACAGCAATGCCCTTAAAACCAATCATCAAATCACCATGGCGCGAGGGGCTCTCGAAACTAGCGGTTTCACGGTGAAACCGATTCCCACAATCCGATTGTGGGAATCGGTTTCACCGTGAAACCGCTAGTTTCCAGAGCCCCTCGCGCCATGGTGATTTGATGAATTGGTTTTAGG